AGTTAATAAAGACGCAAAGCTTCCGGATCTAGAGATCAAGATTAGCTGGAGTAACGAACTGCCGACCATAATTGCCGACCACGCGAGTCGACTATACTTTCGAGGTAGAAGGGTTCATAGTTTATTAGGCGTAGACACTAATCTTACCTTCAAAAGAAGATAGGGCATACTATCAGCTTGAGGACGGCTGATTTGCTTGCTCTAGACTCTTCTTCTCTATAATATCTTTCTATCCTTGTCGTGATCCCAGAATTCGGAAAGGTCGTTCGTAGGACAAAGCCCTAGGCGGTCGAAAAAGGCCTTCAGGGGAAGTTGAGCAGTATGGGCAAAGCAGGGAAATCGCTCCGGACGGCTACCTCGATTACACTCCGCAATTGCCTCCTCCTCTTCCTCTCCTATCTCTGATTCGGGACTAGTCTCCGTACCTAGATAGAGAGGTAGCTGCTCCAAGCTCGTTGGTGGCTTAGTAACCGTTATACCGTACCTCTCTTAACAAGTATCAATCGCTGAAACACTATAGAATATTAGAGGAGAGTAATAACAGTATAGCAAGTGTCCTTACATCGCATTGTGTAGCGTCTTATTGTTAGAGGCGTTGTCGCACGTAATAGCAGTCAATCGCCGCTCAATCTCGAACTCTTGTAAGATCTCGAATAGTATCTCCGCAAGATGATCACCAGTATAACGGCCAGTAATATGAGGGAAACCAAGCATCCCTTCGTACCAAGTCTATTGGTCGTCAATCCAGTAGACCCGTATAGTTAGGAATAAGGTTTTCATAGTCCTGGATTGCCAACCATTACACGCGATAGCCATCTTGAATCTTCCAGCGAGACGGGCTTTAAGGGAGTCGGCGGAGTCTATAACCTTAGTATCGAGCATCCTTCGGTATGTCGACGCGCATTTGAACGGAATTGTCTCGACCTGTCCCGGAAGTAGTGCCATATAAGTCTGTTTCACCGAGGGTCGTTCAAAGAACTGGAATAGTAGACCGTTATCGACAATCATCTCAAAGCATAGGCGCGGGAAATCGTCTAGTGTATAGCCTAGGTCCCTTGTCTACCGTGGATTGCTAACAGTCTAGAAATATCGTCTTAGTATAAGTAGCTAGACGTAGTCGGCAGACGTGGTCGGCAGGTATGGTCGGCGTTAGTTAGTACTTACCTGTCGATGCTTCGCGGCCGTAAACATCTCCTTTGTAAACCCTCGCTCATCTTGTTTCTCCTAGCAGTTCGAGGAGTCGAGATGCTTCTCGACAGATATTGTACTAGTATTTAGTACTAGGTGTTTTAGTACAGCGTCACAGCATCTGTATACGACTTTAGGCGTCGCATCTTCTTGAAGCATTCCCTCCTCTAGGAAATCCTATACCCAAGATGTCCGAGACTCACTCCCCTAGGTAATTAGGGACCGATCGAACATAGCACGACCGTTCCGCTTTTTAAGGCGCTTTCCGGTATAATTCCACTACCGTACCTCGTACCAACGCTCAAAGTTGTCCTTATACCTAAGCCTCTATAGCCAGCAATTTGACTTGATATCCCACTCTCCTACATAATCAGGCTCGATAGGGAGAATAAGGGAACTATCTAGTTCCTCTTCTACTGGACTCGGCCGTCTCGTTCTACGCCGCCTAACGTCAGGTTGTCGTCGGCGTCGACCTAGTGTTAGACTCGATGGCGCGTTGAGTGTCGTCCTATAGCGCTGGCGTAGCCGTGCGCTCGATCGCGTAGGGGTCCCGGAAGAGGTATCGGGCTAGGAGGAGGATTCGAGCCGGGAGCTTCCTACTCCTGGGGAGGACGAGAAGGAGGACGAAAACATAGTAGATAGACGACAATAGCGTAAAAGTCCAGAGGTATCTTAAAGAAGTAGGAGTAGAAAGGGGAAAAAGAAAGAGAATTTCCTGTACTCAATCATAGTGTTACGCTATAACAAGGGTATAGCCAATAGGATATGCCGACATTCTGCCACATCCGAGCCAACCTATCGAAACCCTGGTTCAGGCGTCGCTTGCTATTTACCCATCGCTTCCGCTTCTTAGTCTTAAACTTTAACAAGGGTAGCCAGTCTCTTGTCCTTCTCAACCAGTTCCTCGAGACCAGAAATCGAGAGGCAGAGTTCGTCTTCTTAGAGGAGGAGGAGCAGGATAGCTTCGAGAGTAATACCAGTATACTCTTTTACGCTACAATAGATAAGGCTTTCCATCACTACTAGCCACATTGTCTGTTCCTTCGTAAGAGAGTTCTCTTTCTCGCACATCTTGTACGCCATCTTTGCGAGATGCTTGTTCTCCTTCATTGTCTTTAAAGGCAAAAAGCCGTTAGCTGCATAGTCGTAGGTAGCGGGAATAAGCCAAGAAGGGCCTGGCAATCGCCCTCCATAGTAGGCTTG